AATAAATATGCCTAAGTACATAGAGTACTTGACATGGTGACTTAAAACCCCTTGGTACAATTTTTAAAGATAAATTCAAAAAATGATTTGTTTGCCATTCTATTCTTTCACCCAATTCTTCTCCTTAATTTGTTTAGTTGCTCACCATGAAATATACATTTCATAATGGTTTTTCAGGGGAAAATGATCATATGAATCACAATAAGATGCCTGAATTTAGTTGCACTTGAATTTGAGCACCTGGAGGCTGAATTGGAGAACAGCCTGAGCTATATAGTGATGTCTTGTCTCAAAACAAACAAACAAACAACAACAACAACAAATTAAATGAAACAGTTAAGTCAGTCAAGTAGAGCCTGGAGATGTAACTCGGTGGTGGTGTGTTTACCTAGTATGCACAAAGCCCTGTGTTTCTACCTCCAGCACTACAAATCAAAATAACATTCCTCCTCCAAAACATAAATAAAGCAAACCAAAACTACTAAAGTCAGACAGTTGCATTTAGAATTAAAAACAGGTTGGTTAGTCAAGGATAAGAAACTTAGAGGGGATATTGACTGTTTGGAGGTATTTCAGAACTTTCAAGTTGAGTAATTCATCAAAGTAGTTATAAGGAGAATTCAGATGGATACTTTAAAATGTAATAAAACAAATGGTTTATGCCCACAAATCCCCTCCAGGCCTTGTCCTACCACCAACAGCAGGTAAGGATGACTATTTGAGAACAGCTTGTGTCTGTTCTATGTCCTCTAGCTTTATTTAATTGCTCTTTCCTGTGTTGTTCCTGGTGTGGAGTCCACAGCATGAGGGACTTCTCAGAAGCTCAGCCTCCTGGGGAAATGACTGTGCATCAGAGGGAAGAGCCAGAGGGAGCCTAAGTCTTCAGAGAGCTGAATTCTCCTCTCAGACACCCAATCTCTCCAAAGGCCAAGCCCCATGCTACAGTGTAGAAGGAAAAACAACAATGTCGATAATAACAACAACAGGGGAGTAAGGCACAGAAAAGGCAAATAGAAAAACCGAGCAACAAACAAAAATGGAAATGAGGGCCACAGGAGACGAATAAATGAAAGTTTCATTTAAAAAGTCGTACCTAAAGAGTGTTTATCACCTCATGAATTGTATTTAATGATTTATTATTTTCTTAAATGTTCTGGGAATTTCAAAAGTCTTTCAGCTTTTGAGACAATCAAATCCTGCCTATTTCAGAAGCAAATTTCATTGCCATTTTATGATTTAATGACTCAAATTTTCCTTTAAAAAGAAAAAATATATATCCATATGTACATCTACCCACACATACACACTTATACACGTATATAATACATATTATATACATTCAGGTCATTTGAAGCTATTATTTTTAAGAAAGACCACATTCATACTCACAGCTGCATTTTTTTATTACTTGCACATTCTAGGGACAAACATGAAAACAAATTTGGAGACCTCCTTTTCCATGTGTGGTATGTGCTGGTTGAAGGCTGATCACATTCATGGTAGAAAGTGAGGGGGAAAATGGAAGAAAAAAGCTGGCTTTGCTTATTATCATGCAGATATACCTATTGGTTAAGGATCTGCTCATGCTTCCAGCTAAGAGTCCCAGCCACCCTCTCCATAGAAATAATCATAAGGCTCTTTATTGAATTTTGTGAGAGGCTTCTAGAAGCACAGACTCTGATCAGAAACATCTCCTTCACTGCTCTGTCCCAATGACTAAGATGCCACAGAGGAGATTCTTTTTTTTATTAATTGTTACTGTAGAGTTGATATACATGAATCAGGTAATGAATAATGAGTACAATTCTTTTTAACCATGTCTCCCCTTCCATCACTCTCATCCGGTTTTTCTCTCCCATCCCCAACCACAAGATATCCACTTCATTTTCCACATAGTATCTAGTGAGCATCACTGTTGTATTTGTTCACCCTTGTCCCACCTTTTATGTTATCTCCTTTACCCTCCCAAATCTTGTCTTCTTTATGCATGCCAAACCTTTTGGAAGGCTTACAACCTAGCTGAGTTTATAGCTTTTTTCTGGCTCTGTATGATTAAAGAGATGAAAAGACATATTTTAAGTAATAGGATTTTGTTAGAGAGTAGAAGGACTTTGGAAACAGTCTCATAAGAGTCAGGGAGAATCTAGTGGGGTAGCAGAGACCAGGCAGGGTGAAACCTAGCAATGGAAGTGATGTGAGAAATGACTTCTTTGGGCAGAATTGCAGATCACTGACTTGGATCCATATTTGGTTCTGCCCTTAACCAGCTGGAGGCAATCTCACTGATCACTTGTCCATTTTGAGACTTTTTGTTTTTCATTTCCAATATGACAAGGATGGGTTATAGGAGGTGTATTTCCATTGAAAATCTTGAGACCTTTGAAACTTGGATACTGGGTCTAACTGATGCCATCTTGGCACCTTGGTGGATGGGGATTTTCTGAAAACTCTTAGAGGTGAAACCCCACCTCCAACCCCAGGTGGTAGGTTTGTCTGAATTCCTAGAGTCAGGATTACTGCACCTGACAGACTTGTACCATGAACTAGAGAGACTCTTTGAACTCTGGAGCTTCCTGTGACCCTACCCTCTGATCATGACCCTATTTAAGCCCTGACCACCTCAGCTGCCATTTTTTGCACAATGCCTGGTGTCTCCTGATTCAAGTCACCATGGGGACCCACTTCAACTCCCCATTAGAGTTAATCTGGTTTATTGAGATTGTTTTTCTGCTCTTTCTTTACACTCCCACCCTCATGGCTCCGTTTCCTAACAGAATTAAGTATTTGAGGCTGCAAGTTTTGGGGAGACATGTTTCTGCCTTACAGTCACCAGTTTCCTAACACAGACTACCAATTCGACCTCTCAAAATGTGACTTTTCTATATCACATGATTAAATCCCAGTAGAGATGTATTCATCTCTAAGGCTTCAGTGGAGTATATTCACTGGGCTTAGAGTTTGAATGGGTAGGAAGAAAATGATAGAATCCTAATAAGTGATCATCCCACATGTTATTTGATCAATTATCTATTTTACAGCTTTACTGAAACAATATCTATTCTGCATATATTATCTAAGATGTACTTTGCCAAAAAAGTTTTTGTTACTAAAGATAAAGTTAAAATAATCCATCCAGATGCTTGTGATTTTTTAAACATTCTATCCAACTTTCTGCATCAATATTTTTATGCTGTATCTAAGAAATACCAATTCATTCAGTATTTTAATTAAAGTTATGAGTAGTCATCTATAATAATTATTGAACTGATATTACTCTTCTATAAAGCAGACAAAGGCAAAAATAAAGTTTTGGTTTCTGGTTTCTTTGTTTTTCTAGAGAATACCATTTATTAACTTATGAACACTAGCCATTGTGAACACTTCCTTGATATTCTGAGATTTTGTTCGCCAAGGGGAAATATCCAAAGCATTAGTGTATCAAAAGTATGTATACTTATAGCAATGCTTTGTATGTTTAATTGAACACATTATCAGTCAGAAAGTAGCAATAACTAAGATTAAACTTGCAAGGTAACTAGAAGTCCTTAAGGAATCATTTACGGCTTTGTAAATTTACATCCCTTCATTTATTAACAATAAAGAATAACCAAGCCAATGTTTAAATACAAAAAAAACACACCTCAGGATAATGGTGTCAAATTTTTAATTTAACTCATCAATCACTTTCTTCCTTGGGTACTGTTTTCTGAAAGGGTTAACTCAACACTATGTTATGGAAAGAATTAGGTACCTAGGCTTTGGAAAACCTTGATTCACTAAATATAAATAGTATAGAATTCTTTATAATTGTAATGTTAATGACATATCATATTTGCTTTTTAACCATGAATCTCTTTAAATCCTTTCTGCCAAGCCATCACCTGCAAGTAAGGAAGAGACTTTACTCAGTAATACCTTATGAATGACTTAAGGGTGGTAAAATGTGAAGGCAGGAGAAGTTTTCCTCACATTATTCCCTTGGTCCCTAAGCCCTAGGAGAAGCTAACATATTATGTAACTAATTCAGTCTAGCTTTACTCAGTTAATTACACATTGATTGATAGATTAATTATTATTAGTAACTGCAGACAACTCTTAAAAATAGAAGGCTACTTTTCAGGTCTTAGTTTCTCAAACAATCTATATAAAGGTTAAAAATCCTCAAAGCCTATTTGTTTCTGTAGATTTTTTAAAAATATTGTATTAAGGAAATTGTCTTTTTGCTTAGCCTATTCCTTTTAATTGAATTTTTAAAGTTTTATTTTTAACAGAGTTTTTATTTGTCTTTAAAGTATTTCAGAGTGTGATTAATCAAACTTTGCTTCAAAGTACCAGAAAAGGCTTTATTAAAATAAAGTGGGAAGGACTAAATTCCATTAGTTTCAGGGGACAGAAAACTATGCAAGTTAAACCAGTAACAAGGAAAGTCTATAAAGTAATAAATAATACAATGATATAGTGTTTTCTATCATTTGTGTTACTTAGCTCTCTTGCAGGTCTTTTGGGCAGGCTTTAAATACATGAGCTTATTTCTTTATTTTTATTTACTCACTGCATTAATTGCATTTCAAAGAAAAACCTACTGTAGTAAAAAAAACTGGGCAGAATATACTGGACATCTCATTCTGTGGGAGATGTTATGGAAAATTTACAGACATCACAGGAAGCAAAATAATGATAATCCAAAAGTAAACCATGCATTTTTAAGATTCCTTGCAATTTGCAAATTAATATAGTCCACTTAAAGCTTTTTATTCGTAAGAATTTAAGGAGTCTAGTGCCTCTTTTTACAGCTAATTTCTCAAAGAATTGTCAATTCACCACCCCCCCACCCCACTTTGGCATAACTTTAAACTGTTCTTTAATATCTATGATTAAAGTTATCGTATAGATAAGATCTCTTTGAAGTCAGACTATACATAAAAATCTTAGCTTTTGCAATTTACACTGATGTAATAAATTCTCATCCCAAGATGGTCAAACCCATGGGAATGACTTACTAAAATATCTGGCGTCGACAGGCTCGTGGTGTTCAGTCCTACCAAAGACGGTAGAGTTTGGGACATCCAGTTTGAGATCATTGCCATGGTACTGAGCAGAGCACCAAGCTTCAGCAGTGGAGGACTCATTGCTGTGGAGCTAATGAGTTTTCATAGTGACTGATTAGGATTCCGGAACCTGGCTGGCAATGGGAGGCGTGACTGCAGCAAGCCACCTCTACAGTATGAAAAGAGATCAACATCCCAGCTCTAATCACTAGGGAAAGCATACAGAACCTTCAATGCCCACCCTCCTGAGGAGTGCCCTGCCTTCTTTTTCCTCCCAAGTAAAGACGCTTTGCTGGATCATCACTGTGTTCCTGGTAGGGCTGGCTTGTCATGATCAGAGCAGAGGTTGGAGGGCAAGAAGAAATGAGAGCTTTTCCAGCTTCATTGCAGTCAGTTACCATCAACAAAGCCCATTTCCTTTGGGGTTTGTACAAGTATAATCAGCTGTGCTTTATCTTTCATAGGAAAAATAAAACACCACAAACCTCCTTTTAAATGGAGATCTGCCAAAGCATGCATTTCAAACGCCAAATTTAATATTTACAGATTTCTCTGGACAACGGAGGGCACAGGGCTTTTGAAAATGGAAGTCTGTATATAATTTCCAAGATAAGCAGATACTAATCCTAATAGGAAATTACCATGTTAAAAATGAATAGCCGTTGCCTGTGTGATCATTTCCTTAAGGCATATTATATCTGAACAGTCAGAGAGGGTGGCCTTGTAGAAACTTTATGTTATAGAAATTCCATGTTCCCAGGTTTGTCTTTGAGAATGTTTGCTTTGCTTTGTAGGTATAGAGTCACATGGCAAACTCAGCTAATTGTATTTTCACTTTATGAGGAATGACAGTCTGATAATTCTGAAAATCTGTCTTCAGAGGATGTGTGATTTATTAAATGGGCCACAGGACTTGGATTTGTAAGTTTGAGGGTCTGGTTCTTGTTCCCTAGTTAGCTGTGTGAGTGGTCAGTGACTTAATCTTCCTTGGCTTTATTGTTTTTCTATAATATATGAGGGATGGATTCCATGCTCTCTGAGGCCCTTTTCAGCTCTAAAATTCAATAATCTGTTTATTAGAACTCCATTGGCAAATGCAGGATATCGTGTTCAAAGCTAGTTTGTAATTTTGTTGTAGTCTTTTTATTTTTATTTTTAACAAAGTCTACAAACTGCATCCATCCAAACTTCAGGCCCCAAAAGGAATAAATCGGCAGTCATCGTTATATACAATAATGAATTTTAAAACAAAGAACAGAAAAGACACAAAAGGAAATGTAGCTGCATGAAAATTAAATGAAATAGAATGGATCATATAAAGGAAAAATATTCTGTTGATTCCTTAGGAGAATTCTGAAACTGTTTGCATCTGCAATTTTCAACCAAAGATACATGTTTTTCTTAACAGTTTTGACAGGACAAATAAAGAAAAATGTCTATAATAAATTTGAAAGGCATGCATATTTATACTGTGTGTATGTACTTTAGACTTCCAGACCATTTCTAAATGGGGTGAGTCTAAGAAACTCTAAATCTTCTTTGCATCTATTAACTTGGAATCGAGGCTATATATATATATATATATATATATATATATATATATATATATATATATAATCATTGTGCCCAGAAAAACAAGTATTATTCTTTTTTGGTGATTCAAAAGTTATACCATATTAAAAACCAAGAAGGATAAAGGACACTAGTTTATGTATTAAGTTAGCAGATTATTCATAGAAAGCACTGGGAAAGTGGACATTAGTATATAAGTGTGGTAATGTCAGAGTGCAAATCTAAGCATACCTGGAACTCTATCTAACTCCAACAAAGAACAGTGGTGTCATTTTGATAGTTTAATTTCCAAAATGGAAAATTAATATACATTCAATTACTGGATAATTTAGGAAGTCATGCAGCAGATGGTAATTTTACTTATTAATGAACGATCAGTCAACAAAATAATAGCATCTTTAGAAGAGTATAAGATTGACTGTCAGGGGAAAACAAATCTCTTATTTGCAAATTAAAAAGAAAGGAAGAAATACAGAACAGTATAAGTGCAGTGCTTATTTCAATTTCCTAGAGACGCAAGTAAGTACACTGAAGAACTGGAAAAAAATGATGAGGTATATGATTTATTGATGTTTACAAACAACATGAAAGCTAAAATATCTGGTTATGAGAAGAGCTTTAAATGCACAAATAGAAATAGAAAAACCTTAAAGTATAATGATTATTCCTTGGAGGAAATAAAATAACTACAATTTGCAAAGAACTAAATAGTTTGCAGAACTCTCAGATTCAGAGTGATTTCCATTGGATTTATTTAGGTTAGTTGAGGCAAAGTCTGGACATCCATATTGCATAGGTTATCCTCAAACTCACAATCTTCAGTTTCCCAGGAGCTGGGATCACAGTTGTACAACATTATGCCCTGCTGTGATTTCCATTTCAAAAGTTTAAATCTAGTTTACAGATAGAAAAGACTTTTGCTATGGAGAAGTAACGGCTGCCCTGTGACGGAAATGGTAAGAACGAAGGTTGGAAATAGTGGCTGGACCAGTCCCAAGGCTTCAGAGCACCCGGAGGTATCTGGACTTAATTGTGCATGACATGCAAGTGTTTAATGCAAAGCAGTGAAATCATTCGTCTTACATGTAAATTATTACTTCGACATTTTTATGATGAAAAGAGACAGGTAAGGGCTACAGGGTGAACAACCCTTAGCAAAAGCAGGAGGTCACTTACAGATATAGTTTAGGTAAAAGATGGGTGGCGTCCAAGCATAAGGAATCTGTCAGTGGAATGTGAGTGGATGGATTCCATGCGGGCTTGTAAGTGAGTTGGCAGTTCATTGTGGTTGAGTACGTGTGAAAAGTTAGGAAGAAGTAATTGGTCAGCCTCCAGCTTTGCATTTGGATGATGAGTATCATTTATCGGGATAGAAAAACATCCGAAGAATCATGATGGGGCAAAGAAGTAGACTTCCTTGTTATCCATACCAAGAGTGACTTGCTTGCGGCATAGAACATCAAAGACTGGTAATCTGAATTTCAGAAAAAGGTTACTTTACCTAAGGCTCATAACCTTTATGGTCTAGTTAAAAACAAACAAAAACAAAAACAAACCAGTGTAGCCTATATAGATCCCAATCTTCAAACAACCAGAGATTTTCTTTAATTTTAACTTATGATAATCTTTAGATTATCTACATACTGTTTCAATAAGTTAGAAACAGAAACAACTTCTATCTCCAGTAAGTAACAAATACTTGCCTCAATCTAGTAATCACACTGAAAATATGTCCTGATTATAAATGTATTTTCTTTATAGAATCTCAAGGTGGATCAATAGCTATAAAATCTACAACTATGCGTAATTGCTCATGAAATTCTAAAATACATTGATTACCATATTTATTCATTAGATATTTTTAAATGCCAGGATGTCTTTTTTATTACCTTGAGTATTTCAAGTTAGACTTAGGTAATATATAATTACTAAGCAAATAAATATTAAGTAAGCAAGACATATAATTTAGGTATGTTCTGTAACAGAAAAGTTTTTCTTTTGATTCATAGCATATAGTTTTTAATTCTCCATGTTTGTTTCTAAGTTTTGGATCCATTTGTGTAATAGATGGCTGGGGATTCCTGGGGAACACAGCACAGGCAGATATGGCAAAGTAAATAAATGCAAAAGTGCTGATTGTCACACAAAATATGGTAGAAAATAACTAGATAAAGAGATAATTGTGTACTCCAAATTTGATTTTGGGAAAAATAAATTAAAGAATTTAAGAATATCCACGAAGCACCAAAAAGGGAAAAAGAAATAATCAATGTGAACTTACATTTTGTAATTTATAATATTTTTAAGGGAAAAGGAGAAATTGTAAATTAGATACAGCTGTAAAGAAACAACAATAAGACTGGTACTGGTGGCTCACACTTACAATCCTGTTTAATCAAGAGGCTGAGATCTATGAATTGTTGGGTGCTAGCCTAGGCAGAGAAATATGAGAGACAGTTATCTCTAATTAACCAGTAAAAAGCTGGAAGTAGAGATGTGGCTCAAGTGGTGGAGCACCACGTTGAGTGAAAAAGCTAAGCAAGAGCTGAGTTGAAACCCAGTACCAGGATAAGGAAAAAAGAAAAGAAAAAAATAATTACAGAGATTAATAGATTATTGATGAAGGAGGTGAAAAAGGAAGAAGAGCAGAAAGAAGGGGAGGAGTGATAAAAAAAAGAGAAAAGGATGAAGTTAGTAATTGGGTAGAACACTGATGGATTTCACTGATTGACAGATTGTAAGAACAGCTTAATGTTGGTATAAACTACACAATTGGGGGTAGTCAGGATGGAAACAACTGGTAGAAACTGAGGGAGCAGAAGATACCATTCAAAAAGGAATGTACTTAATACCTGATTTATGTAACCCTAACTCCTCTGTACAACATCTTTACAGTAAACAAAAGGTTTTTTTTTTAATGAACTCTAGAAAAAGCAGTGGACAGTGGCTAACAATTTAAATAGAAAAAGCAGGAAAAGTCACAAAAGATGGAAAAGGGTGGGAGACGGAATCATTTTGGGGATGCTGTGTACCTTGGTGCAGGTGTGCTAGGACAATTACTAGACAAATAAGTCTCTTTCCCTTTGCTGCAAGACCTTAAAGGCAGTTTAGGGTATAGTATTACAGATTCTTTCATTGGCTAGCAAACTGACATTGATGAACTCTGGATTTCAACTTTTCTCATCTATAAAATGAGATTGAAAGTATTTGTGTAGAAGGGTCATTGGAAAAACCTGATAAGAGCATGTATTTGAAAGTGCTCACATATGTCTTTGCTGGATGCCTAACTCATGTCAACTCTATCTATCTTTGATAAGACTATCATTCAGGAAGGTCAAAAGGAGTAGCTGAGCTGGAAGAACAATGATGACAGGGGTGGGGCTTAACAAGGGGATGGTGAATTGAGCTGGGAGTAAGTCCTGCTCTGCAACTCAGTGGTCATGGGGGGAAGATCATAATATAAGATAGCTGCAGAACACCAAGATATTCTGGGGCTGTAGTGCTAGAAAATGGATAGATGAAAGGGACAATTGATCTTGATTCCCCAATTGAGAAGCTAAAGCAATGGCAAGACAATATCCATAAGGTTTTACCATCACAGTTGTCCTCCCATTTT